AAGTCACTGTAGAGTGGAGAGAAAGTCTTTCTTGTCACCAGTCCCAGGAAGTTATGCGTGAATTGTGATGAGTTTAATTCACAACATTCATTAGAGTAACCACGTAATACATTTTAAAAAAAGAGGGGGAGGGAGCAGGTTAGGCAGATTTTAAGAACCTGAGTGCTCCATCCCACTTTCTCTGAGGAGAGCTGGCACTTCCTTCACAAATAACTGACAAAATAAAATAAAAGCCAGTGCTGTTCAGGAGGAGGAGGATCCATGGGGGGGAAAAAACCCAAAAAAAAACACAATAAAGGAAAGCAACACATTACCACACTGTCCAAGTATTTTACACCTTTTAGAAATTCCAATCAGCACACTTCCAAAACTAGCTGGATGGGGAGCAGGATATCACAGTGGGACTGTATCCTCTCAGCTCAGCCTTTGATAAATTAAAGCCAGAGCATTACAATGAGAAGATCAGGTACTACTATTCCAGATCCGTGACAAAAGATAAATGACTTTAAAGCATTTCTCACCACGGGAAAGAACTAGAACTGCAACAAACTGAAAGGCGTAAACAATTAGACTGAGACCAGGTGGCATTTCCTTCTCAGTCTTAAACGTCAGTTCAGTTCCTTTTCACTCCTATACTTCCCTCTTGCACCAAGAGCAAAAAACACAGGATTCTAAAGCTAGGCTACCTCTGACAGTGGCTCACACTCAGAAAAGCACAGCATCAAACTGGATTTTCACAATAGTAACTGCTGGAGAGAAGCTTGCACATGGAAATACAGCTTTTTTTGTAAGGTACATGACAGGACACTTCTAACCACCCATGTGACAAAACAACAGAAGACAGTGTTTTCCAAGCAGGAATCCAAGAATGCTTTCCCATACACAACTTTTAAACATTCCTTTCACAGGCAGCCAATACAAATACTTACTTAATAGCGGTGGTCATACTCTGTGCTTGCTGTTGAGTGCCATTATTGATTGTGCTGGCATTTTTCAGCTGGTTCATCTGTTGCTGAGTTTGTGTGCCTCCACCTCCTGGGCCCCCGCTGGGTTTTACAGGGCCTCTCAACTGCCCATTCTGACTGGATAGACCCATTATAACAGGGTTCTCTGTTCTGGCCGTGCTCATGCTTTTATCTTTAAAGATGTCTTTTTAGACTTCAAAACTTTGAAAGTCAGTACAGAAACTGTAATAACAGTTTATTAGACTCTCCAAAATGAAGAGATAAATAAGTCTTGCTCAATATATGAGTCCTTTATTGCAATGCAGGCAAGCACCTGTAAGTCACTCAAAAGTAAAGCAGTAACTTGCTCTGATGCACTGTGGAACAACTTTTTTTTAAAAAAAGCCCTCTATTGAAGTTCAGTTATATCACAATTCACTTGCTTCAATCTGAAAGAGAAGCAGACAATAACAATTAGTATGTGGATTTTTGTCTATGCAAATCACATCAATGTACTCCTGTATTTTAGAAAAATTTCTTCCCAGGCGATGTGCAACAACAGTACTTGCTTTTTTGTTTCCTCAGTGATAATTATAAAGACATTCATCAAACTTTTTTTGCCTTTCTAGAAAGTGTTGCCTAACATCTTCAGACACCAAAGAAAACTTCCCAAACAGTTGTGCTTTCAGCGACCTTCCACTACCTATCCCCTCACATAAAGTAACCATTAAGTGTATCAATTGCTTTGATGGCTCCTCAATTCCCCCACAAATTCCCCCACTTCCAGGATGCAGCCAACCAGCCCTAAAACATGAAAAATATTATGCATAAGTTTGTGACGAGAAGCAAGACTACCACAGGGAGTGGACATTCCAGTTAGAACTGACAAAACCCTTACATTACACTGATTGCCCTGCTCGGTTTGAATGGGAAATATAGATTATGCAAACCCAAAAGAACAGCTTACACTCCTCCAACCCAAAATGCTAGCTCAACCAGCTTACCCCCAGTTTTCAACCGGGTATTGATTTAAGGCTATTCAGAAGAGTGACGAAACACCATTATGCTGAATTGAGAGCAGCTGCCTCTTTGAGTCGGAGTGACTGAGCTTGAACTGAGGCAGTAACACTGCTGGTCATGCAGCTTCCTGCTTGTGATCTTACCTTCCTGCTGTCAGCGACAACTTATGTGGTTCTTGGAAGATAACATTTCATACACATGACTTAATATTGACTCTGTATGTAACAGAAAGGTTGCAAAACTGTGGAAAGACAATACAAAGTCTGCCCCTTACATAAAGCAAGCATGGACCAGAGCTAAAGGCTCCTTACAATGGTACCAGGGAGACAAAATGTCCCTAGTCCAAAATCTGTTGAAACAAAATCGTTTGGCTCGCCTTGAGCATCTGCATCTTGGGAAAATACAAAGGGAAGACCAGAAGACTACTGCTTCCTAACCTCGGCATTCACAACAAAATGCATGTTTTCCCGGTGAATAAAAAGGCACATTGAAGAGCATTTCAAGAGAGTGGAAAAGGAATTCAGACTTCCCAAGTGTTTTAAGGTGTGTCAGTGCTGGCTTCCAGCAAAATTTTAAAGTTTGCGATACTAGGATTTTCTGCTAGTTAACTTTCAAGGCATCTTCGAAAAGGTACTTCTCTTGCCCATTAACTTCGTAAAAACCAGAGGAGTTGCGAAGGTAGCCAGAGACGCCAATGAGGCCCGACTACTAACGCCGAGAAGTTCTCCAATAGCGAAGGAAATGAAACCTCCGTCCCTTGTGCCCACACGCTCGTAATTATCTTTTAGAAGAACACAAGTTTAAAAAAACCCGCAAGTCTCACGGAACCCAAAAAAATCTCCCTGTTCCGATAAAAGAGACGCCACCATTTCGCAAACCAGCGGACTGAAAAAAAAGGGCCTCCATCGCATATCTCTGCTCTCCGGGCGCGGGCGGACGGCCGGGGCATCAGCTCCGGACCTCTTCCATTCCATCGGCTAGGCCCGGCACAAAGGGAGCCCTCGAGGTGCTCAGTGTGCCCGATGAGCCCGGGCCGCAGTGCGGAGCCCCGGGGCAGAGCGGTGGGCCCGGCGCCGCCCGCCAATCGCAGCTGCGCCACACCAACACCTCCCGCCCGCGAACAATGGAGCGGCCGCAGTTTGCCGCCTGAGCCGGCGAGGAGAGAGAGCTGCTCGGGGCCCGCCCCGCCCCCGCGGTCCCTCGGTCCCGCCGCTCCCGGTGCGCCCAGGCCCGATCCGGCCGTCCCCGCCCCGCCCGCGGCGCCGCCAGGCCCCGCTCAGGCCCGCGCTCTCGCCGCAGGCCGCGAGGCGCGGCCCGCCAGCAGCGGCCCCCTCGCCCTGCTCCCACGGAGCCATGCCCGCCCTGGCCCGTCCTCACCGCCACCAGCCGCGCTCCCCCTCGCCCAGGTACAAAATCCTCTCGCTCCCCCGGTGCCTTGTTATGGCGACTCGACGCTCCAAGATGGCGGCTTCCTCCTTCCTCCTGTGCGCCCTCCCCCTCCCGGCGGGCGGCACCGGCCCGCCCCATACGCATCACGTACGTACGTACGTACGTTCGGCGTGCGCCACGCGTTACGTCCCGCCCAGCGTGCGGCTGCCCGCGTGACCGCGCTGGCCGCTCGCGCTGCTCCCTTAGACCTGCCCCTCCCCTTTGAACCTGGAAACGTAACGGGGCTTCGCTATGTGCCCATTAAAACAACACAAACGTAACAATGAGGGACTGAGCCACAGCTGTAGGAGTCGTAACCGCCGATCGTGACAGGCTGGGGATTGGCATTTGTTTTTAGACAGGTGTTACTTGGACGTGGATTTTGACAAAGCGAGACACAATGGGAGTGTAATCTTAGTAGTTACTGCTTTGCAGACAATTTTTTCTTCAAATGTTTTTGCAAAGTACATGCAAAAGGACAAGAACATTCCCGGGTTTATCTAGTTCCTGACATCTACAGCTGTCTCTAGGTGGTTGTTTTTCCACCTTCAGCAGCAAAAGCACAAGCTCCACCCTCCAGTTGTAGCTGGTTGAGAACATTCTTCCTGACCTTTCTGTCTCCCGGGCCCAGTGATCCCCCACTCGCCTTACCCCTCAACTCTTGCAGCACGGGGCTTGCTCAGTCTGTGTTCTCCCTGTCAGTGAGGCACAGTGGGAGCTCCCTACGGCCTCCCTCCGGTTTTGCTGCTCTCCATCCTCTCAGGAGAAACAGTGCCCAGAAGCTGATGAGCACGTGCAGGTGCACACAGAAGTCCTCACAGCAGGGGAGGACAGCGACATCCTCGGGGCAGCAGGTGCCCAACAAGTCGGGATCTAAGAAACAGGAATGGTTGTAATCCAGCAGTGCTCACGAGAATAACACCACCTCCTCCTTGACCAGTCCAAAGTCCCACCAGAGTCCTTGCTGGTAGAGAGGCCTTGATGCAGCTGTATCTAGACAAGAGGAGGACAAGAACTCTGCTTGTCAAACCACCTCTGCTGCTCGCACAGAAAAAGCTTTCTGCCAAAATGCCAGCTGCAATGCCATCCTACTCTGCTGACTCAGACCGGGGCATTCTCACTGTGAGTCTGTTGCTGTGACACCACTGAACAAAATGCCCATTTCCCCGAGCAAAAATCTTGATTTTCCATCCTGATTCTCCTTTGTTACTCTTGTGAAGTCAAGCTGCCCAGCTAGCCCTGCTCTAGACTTGCAGTGTGGCTGCCAAGGCCTTGCTTTCCTGTGCAAGCCACCTCACACTTCCCCAAGCCCAGATGAGGGGTGAAGCAGCAGAAGATGGAGCAGAAGACAATTACAAGTCAATGTGGTTAAAGCAGCCAGGAGGACCGCAAGGCAGATGGTGATGATCATACAGACCATACCCATGCTTCAAAGTCCTACACAGCTCCAGAGAAGTACCTGGATCCAGGAGGTTTCTGGTAAGGATGGTCCTTAGCACAGACCTTTTCAAAGCCTTTCGGACCACCTGTAACAAGGACAGCTGTGGGCAAGAAGGTTTCCAGGGAAGACCTAAGATGTTCTGGATCTTCTGTGGTATAGACCAAAGGAATATGGACTCTTAAAAATGTACTTTAAAAGTCAACTTACAGCACTAGTAAAAAGATGATAAAGCTAGATGTTAGTCTTTACATCAATCAGGTGCCTGGAGCTCATTTGCCTTGCAAATACTCAATTGTTACATTCAGTGCTTCTTCCTGCTCACTTAAATGATTAACTCCACCCCAGAAAAGAACTTTGTCGCAATTTCTGGAGGAGAGACGGATCGTGCCCCTCAAACCATGGGGCCTGTCAGCTACTCCTCAGAGACCTATGACTTGGTGAGTTGGGCCTGGCTTTGCTTTGATAACAGGGATGGCAGTTAGAGCTGGGGTGGGCTGAAAGGCCAGGTTTCTGGCCATCCATCTTCTAACCCTCCTGTTGGCAGAGGCAGAGCTTGAGCCGTTTCTTATGCCAGCGTAATCAGTCCTTGCATCCCTTAACATCCCTCTCTGCTGTTGCTTGCAGAGAGCTGGCGTAGTGTGGCTACAGCCACTGGGATCCAGGGATGCTGGGTATTCTGTTGGGGAAAGCTACCAGGACCTGTACTGGCAAGCACTAAGCCCAAGTACTGTCCTTGCATGAGGACACAGACCAGAGGCTCTGCAAAGGGCTAGGTGACTCACCTGGAGAGTGAGGCTCCAGCAGTCCTATCCTGTGCTGCCAGCCTCTCCCAGCTTCTGCTTCCTGCTGCCCTGCTGTCTGCACAGCCATTAGCCCAATGTGGGCATAAAACACTTATCCTGAGCCAGGCACCTTTTGCACCAGGCTTCAGTGGTACAAATGACTGTGTACACAGTGTGCAAAGCCCTGTACTCCTGATCTGGTCTCCTTTGACAACTGGAATACCCAAGCAAACCCTCTGTTCTTCTCTCTCTGTGTGTGAAAACCCTTGGTATGACCACCCTGCTTGCTTGCTCCACGTACCAGCTTCCATACATATGTCTCCACATACGTACAGGCTCCACATACACTCTGCTGAAAGGGGAACATGCAGTGTATTTACAAGAGAGGACTTTTAAAGAGTGGAAGATAAATTGCAAGTACTACTTCTAACAGGGAGTGATGACACTAGGTATTCTACCTCATAGTTCTCTTCCCAGCCTTTACAAATGAAAAAGAGCAGCTGCACCTTATAGAGTATGCTGTGCTATCCAATGGCAAGGACACAGCAGCATTATCATTACCCTGGTTTTCAAATATTGCATCTCAGAATTTATTTTTTTACTACAGTGGCTCCCTGCAGCAGACCTCAGGATTAGTTATTCCAAAAAGAGAAATGTTGGATTCAATTGTTACCAAATTTTCTGTTCCTCCTTTTTTCCTACACACCAGGGAAGAGCAAGCCCTACCCTTCATGCAGAAGACCTGTACAAAGGTCCCTCTGCATGCTCACTGTTGACTTATCCCATCCCTGATCAGGCAGCCACCCACTTCAGTCCTTGAATTGCAGCACAGCTCCCAGAAGCCTCACCTTGTCATATTCAGTGCATCTCCCGCAGCTCTGGTCCCTGCCCTTCCTGTCTCAGCCCAGACTCTGATTTTTCATCCTCTTTTATTTGTCTTCAACTAATCTCTGTCCACTCCTATCTCTCTGTGCTGCTCTGCTCAGAGGTGCAGGCAAGGACGATTCAAACACAGCTCCACATACGCTTCCCCTACCCACAACGAGTGGTTTACAGTAAGAGCCCTCCCTACCTGCTCCCCATCAGCAATCAGATGGTGTCTGATAGTGGCACTCAGCCTCTGCACTTCCGGCTCCAAATACCACGTGATGCTGGAAACTGGTCAGCAGCCAAAGCCACTGAACACCAGCCAAGCTGCCCATGCACTGCCATCGATGGTGCTGGCATGGCTCCAAGGGAGGACTGACACTCCAGCCAGCAAACCCTGCTATTTTCCATAATTTCATTTTTCCCTTCAAAGCTTTTTCGCTTCAAAGTCCAACCTATCCCCAGTGAAATTTCCCATTCCAACATACAATCTCTTTGGAGTTTTCAGCACGGTCACCTGCACTGCCTGAGCAGCCTGGTTTGGTCACTACACAAAATTGCAAAGGTTTTTAGGTTGTTTTGCTTTTTATCAGAGAGGTTCAAGGATCTGCCCTTGGCCAACACATCACAGATTTCTGTGTGTGTTGTTAACTCCTTTTGAAAGGTCCAGGTACAGAATAGGCAGGAAATACTTTCAGCTGGGTAGGAAAATAACTGGGAGGGATTTCTTAAGGCCCAAAATCATACCCTAAATCAGAAAAATAAAAGTTCTTTAGTAATACAAAATGCTTCTCACCAAAGGCTTGCAGCCCTACAGTTAGATTAGCAAGAGCTGGGCAGGGTTATTCCACAATTTTCCCAAGGACTCATTCCCTTGGGAAACTGGAGTGCTCCTGGGAAGTGGACCCTCCTACCATCCACTGCTTGGAGACTGCCTGTGCCTGCTGTCTGCTCTACAAGTCTGGTAATGCCCCATAGACTTATGCCCCATCAGCATGCCCAGGCTCCTCCTGGAACCATGCAGGTGGTTTCAGTAGCAGAGGAGTTTAGATAAGCCCCCACAGTCATGTGCAGAGGCACCCAGTGCATTACCCAGGGAAAGCTGCCTGAGAGAGAAGAAACATAAATCACCCTTCCTTACCTAGGTATAACTCCAGGCTGGTCACAGTAATTTTGCTTTGTAGCCCCTTGGGTGAGCAAAAACCCCCCAAATCAGGTCTAAAACTGTGTAAAGCAGGGCTGGTATTTTTAGACAGGAACTTTGGCTGATGAGGGAAGGAGCAGCAGGTGCAAACTGCTGCAGATGGCAGTGAAAGGTATGAAAGCATTAGCAGAGACTTCCGCTGTGGTCAACACTGAAGTCTCAGCATAGGTCTCCAGAGAGGGTGTGGGTGGGGGACCTCAGGGTGACTGCTGCTGAGCTCTTCCCAGTTGTCACTAATATTCATATTGCCACAAGCCTCCTCCACTGCTCTCTTTTGTGCAAGGCCAGCTGAAGCATGACCACCATCCAGGGAGCTCATCCTGAGCAGAATTCCAGCTTCCTGGCACTCAAGACTTGCCCTCAGCTTCAGCCTGAATGCAGGCTGGTCAAGAAGATACAGCAAGCCAAGGGCAAGTCACATCTGCAGCAGCTCTATTGCACTTCCCTTACTGGATATCAGTCTGGGGTCTGAGTGGTGTTTTCCCTTCCCTTTCCTGCTCTGACTGCAATTAATTCAGAACTGAAAGCTTTATCAACAGAACAGATCTCTCTCTCCATCATCTATTCCTGTAGCTATGGCACCACAGCACCTCAGAGGCTTTCCTCCCATTGTGTTGAACACCTGCCCCACACCTTCCTCTGAGTGCATGGGAAGCGATCTCAAAGGGCAGCTGCTGCTCACCCCACCTCACCTTGCTCTTTCATAGGCAGCTCTCAGGCCTCTGAGGATGAGAAGAAGGGGACAGGTTCACTGCACAGAATTTGAGGTACAGATGTGCTGTGTGGTGAATCCTACCACCTTCATACCTGACAGCAGGCAGGCAGGACAGGAGTGGTCCATATAAGAAGTGGGTGGGAAAAATCAGGAAAGCTGGTAGAGGAGGGTTCCATTCTATGTGAGAAAGCAAAATTCGCCAGCAGCTAACTTGGCAAGAACCAGAAGATGAAACTGATCATCTGATTGGACACCAAAACATCCCCAAATACTCCAGTTAAAGATTATAGACTGAGCAGCCCTCACTGTCACAGATGGAGAAAACCCTCTCCACCTGCTGCTGCACCTCTTGGCAGTAGAGGAGCCTTCAATGCAAGAGGGGCCTCATCACACTGCAGACAGCATCTCCTCCTGATGCAGGTGGGCTGCAGGACATGGGGGTGCTCTGCTCTAGGTCTGCCAGGTGCAGCTGGGGGACTGGGTTCTTGTGTTGAGAAACTCCCCTCCATTAACAAGACTCTCTGTTCCCCAGAGCCAGGTGGAGCTGAGTGGTTACTATGAAGCTGAGAACACCACCCCTTCTTTGGAGGGCTACTTCTGCTTCAACCCAGCCTCATCTGTGGTTGGCAACCAGGGAGACCCCTTCAGAAAGGTCTTCATGCCCCTCATCTATCTGCTGATGTTTGTGTTGGGGACTCTGGGCAATGCTCTGGTCCTGGTCATTTTAGAGAGGTTCAAGCGGTCTCGTACCACCACAGAAAACTTCCTTTTCCACCTCACTCTCGCCAACCTAGCACTGTTGCTCACCTTCCCATTCAGTGTGGTGGAGAGCCTGGCTGGGTGGGTATTTGGGAGGTTCCTCTGTAAGATACTCAGTGCTGTCCACAAGATCAATTTCTACTGCAGTAGCATGCTGCTGGGGTGCATCGCAGTGGACCGTTACCTGGCCATCGTCTATGCGATCCACACCTACCGCAAACGCAGAGCTCGCTCCATCCATCTCACCTGCACGGCTCTCTGGCTCTGCTCATTGCTTCTGACTTTACCTGATCTCATCTTCATGGAAGTCTGGACAGATGACAGCAACCGCAGCATTTGCTATTTTCCAGAAGTTGGGATTGATGGAAACAATGCATGGCTGGCAACTCGCTTCCTCTACCACACCGTGGGCTTCTTTGTGCCTCTGCTGGTCATGTGTTACTGCTACATGGCCATCATCCGGGCACTGTGTCAGTCCCAGCGCCTGCAGAGGCAAAAAGCTGTCCGTGTGGCCATCCTGGTCACAGGCATCTTCCTTCTGTGCTGGAGCCCATACCACATTGTCATCTTCCTGAATACACTTACCAAGCTAGAAGCCTTCACCAAGAACTGCCTCCTGGAAGACCAACTGGACACAGCCATCATGGTGACAGAGGCCATTGGCTTCACACACTGCTGCCTCAACCCCATCCTCTACGCTTTTATTGGGGTCAAGTTCCGTAATGACTTCTTCCGGATCCTGCAGGAACTTGGCTGCATAAGCCAGGAGACCCTGCAAGAGATCCTGGAGGTGACAAGGAAGGGTAGTGGGATAGAGTCTGACAACACCACCTCCATCTCCACTTTCTAGCTGGGAAAGGCTGCCTGCAGGGCAGAACTGGCCTGGGTCTTTCCTTCCCAGTGGCACACTTGCTGTGGTCTCAATTACAAGTTTCACAAGCATCCCCACAACTTTCTTCACTCCTCAGGAAACAGGTCCAATAGCCACCAAACACCCAAATCTCATCAGACACCTTGCTTGGCTCTTCCTGGTTCTCAGACTTGTAGAGATCCATCTGGCAGCTGTTGGTGAATGCTGGATGTCTGATGGTCACTCTTGTGGAGCTGGATGAAGATGGTCACTCAAGTGGGTTGAAACTGACATTCCCACCTCTCCCTTGAAAAACGGACTGCAGGCATCTTGTGCACAAAGCCAGGCACAGAACTGGGGTGCCAGGGTTAAGGAAAAATGTGCAGCCAAGTGAATGAGTCATGTCAGTAAACAGGTCTCCATTTCACTAGCTAAGGTTGGTACACATGTGCTCAAGGGAAGCCGTGGGACTCAGTGGCCATCACAACTGGAGAGATGCAGGTAGGACTGATGGGGGCTGCAAAGCTCAATCCAATAGCATGGGTGTACAGTGCTGGACACTCTTTGACTGCAACATTGTCCTCCTGCTGCATAACATCCCCCCAGCCTGCCACAACACCCTCATCTTCCCAACACAGCTCATGCCAGGAGGTCCTCCCACAGACTGAAAGATTTGATTGTCACAGACTCCTTTCCTGACACCAGTTGCATCCTTCTCCACCCATTTGATCTGTTTTACTGCTGTTATGATCTTCTGTGAGTGGCTGCTGAACTAAATGCCTGACTATGCAAAAGTTTTCCTTTAAGGAGGAACACTGTCTGAGGAGATGGCTTCTGTCTTGTGAGTGCACACAGGGGAGAGAAACCACACAACCTTGTAAAGCTGATAGTAAAACTTTTTTTTTTTTTTTTTTTTTTTTTGGCAGCTAGTTGTATGGCTATTTATGGGTTCTGAGAGCAAAGAGACCCACTGCCCCAGAGTAAGGGAAAGTCTCCTTTGTTTTTAGCAAGGCTAGAGGAAATGTGGCATTTTGCTTTGCACTATGCTTTCTGTTAGTTTTCCTCCACCTGCACCTACAGGGCTTTCAGAGATTAACTGCATCCAGATGTACAGAGGATAGACCTGGCTGGTGATCTTGCCCTGAACTGCAAGTATGCAGAAACTGCTCAGATCAGGGCAGCTTGATGATAATTTGCTTCAAAGTAAGAGCAGCAGCTTTCCCCATCATTAATTCTTGCACCACAAGCTGGTGTGTGGGAAAGCCCCAGCAGACTCAAAACAGCTTGCTGCTGCCTAGGAGGTCTTGTCACAGTTTAACATGGCAGCGGGCCCACAACACTGCTCCATGACGTTTCTGTTCCTAAAGAGTACTGTGGCCTGAACTGTAGGAGAGCCATACATACCAATGTCACCCTCCTCACATGCACACTTTAAAATCTCCTCTACCCTTCACCTCACATTTTAAGCAATGTCGAAACAATGTTAGTTCTCCTGTGGCAACAGGAATTTTATGCTAACCTCACTTCTGAAGTTCATCCCACTAGCAGACGGCTCAGTCCCAGGTGAACTTCACAGTACTCAAGGGCCCTGCTAAAAAGACCAGCCAGTATGGAAGGGGCCACATTACCTCAGCCTGACTCAGGCAGAGATCTCAATAGCTTGATCTCACATTGTGACTTGAGGAGAAAACTCACCTAGTATAAGGCAGTCCTCCATTTCCTGCAGCACCGCATCTTCAAAGATGAAACTTTCAAGTAATGGCAGCTGTGGTTGTTCAGGCACATACATGCAGCAGAGAAGGGCAAGTCTCTTAAGCCTGCAACTGTGTTCTCCACGCTTGTACCAGTGAGAAAACCCATTGCAGAAGCATTGTAAACACCTCCCCAGTAGGTTATGGTGACAACTGTGTTTCTATATGAAAATGTTATTGAAAAAAATAATAAAGTATTCAATAATCAAAATATTTACAGTGGTCACAAAGTAAAAAGAAAATCTGCACTCAAATGAGAGTGAACAGACTACACATCTGTTGTTACTATAGCTTTTTGCACTGGTATGTACAAACCTTTAGGAAGTTTTGAGGTAAGCTGTAATAAACAGGTGAATAAAACACCAATCTTCTCATGTGTAGTGCTTGTAAGCATTTGTCTGTAACTCTGTCACTTTATTCAAGGGAGACGCATCAGAGAGGACTAAGTGGGCAGATGGCACCTTTCTGACAAGCTCTGCTCAAAGAGCTTAGAGGAGCACCTTCCTCAGATTCCCCTTCACCAGTGCCGCAGAAGGCTCTGCTGTGTTTAAAGTCAGTCCAGACCTGTATTACCTCTCTGCTTTACGGAGCCTCTTCCACTAACTGCAGCACCTCCTGCCTCAGTTTTACAGCAGCTGCTAACCTGACTGGAAAACTGCCCTTACACCTATATTTGGCCCAGACAGCCTGGGAATGGCTTGGCTCAGAGCTGGCAGACCTTCCCCAAAGAGTTGCCATTGTTCCTCCCATAGCTGCTTGCAGCCAGCCTGCTGAATGTGGGTAAGAAGAAAGCAAGAGGAACTTTCCTTCACTGCAGAGAAAGCTCTGCTTTCCGCTCAGCAAAATCCTTACTGTCTCCTCAAAGGTTGCATGGCTGTCACAACACCCTGCCCCAGAGTGGGCTTCCCTGCTAAGCAGTCACACTGCCAAAGCCACCCCTGCAGCCCTCGGGCAGACCTTCATCCTCCCCAGTGGAGCTCTGCTCAGCCCCTATGCCACAGCTGCCAAGTGAGGCAGATGCACCCTGCCCACCCAGGCTACCAGCAAGGGGGATTGAGCCAAAGGGAGCTCCAAGGTGGCTTCTGCAGAAAGTAGGGAGATGATACGTGGGACGGCGATGTCACCACCATCCACAGCACAGCCTCTGCACCTCCAGTCCTGGACTGTGCTCTGCAAACAAGGCTCCAACAGACAAACCAGAGGAAGCCCTGGTCTCTGATGAAGGCAACCCCAAAGATGGGAACACGAAGACCCTCACAACAGCACACTGCTCTGCATTTCCTGCAGAGCAACCAAGTCTCCCAGGAGACAGATCTGGGTTCCAGCAGAGCATCCTGCTACGCACACACAGTGATCACAGGGCCGTGGCAGGCAGTGGAGCATGCATGGGTGAGTGCAAGTAAGGGAACGCATGAATGAACGTGTGCCTGGGAGTGCTGCAGAGAAGGGGCTCCCCCGATGCCCACACAAACCTTCCAGCACCTGGCACTCTCTCTCTCTCTGCTGCAGTCCAGTGGAAAATCATGTGGAAAAATACAGGCACAGGGTCAGGTCTTGAAATTTGTCTTTTTAATAAAAAGGCACCTATAAAACAGGTCAATACATTACAGGCAGCACAGATACCCAAAAACAAGCCTAAAAATTGTTTCAAATAAAAACCAATAAGATGTCTTCACATATTGTATTTATATATTTATATTTATATATATATTTATATAATGGTACAAAATGACTGGGGAAGTTTCTCCATGGGATGACAGAGAACAGGTCAGTCAACTTTACCTCAATGTGAAAGCTAATTCCAGATGTGTGATTATCCAACATACTGAAAGATGCAGTTTCCCAGCATTTGCTTTTTTGGAGCTGGAAAAACATGGCAAAGTCATGGCTAAAAGATGGGCAAACCTTCTACTGTGATTAGGTGGAGTCAATACACAGAACTCAAGGTGAGGAGCCGAGCAATAAACTACAAGACACAAGACTAGACACAGGTCACGGCAGCGGGCAACCAGCTGATGGCAAACCTTGCCCGAGTCTAACAAGGACTGGCTGTCACTGAGCCTCCAAAGGAACTCCTGCCACACTGCTGTTCACAGACATGGTTGGGAGCAGCGCCCAGGGCACAGGGGTGTTAGGCAGCATTTCTTCTCACCATTGTTCAGCCATCACAGTGGTAGGGGTAGGGCTGGCTCCAGGGCAGTAAGATTTTGCAGAAGAGCACTAACTGCTGCTCCAGAGTCCTCAGCTCTGACCTAGCATCAGGACCCCTTCTATATCCAGGGCTGCTGAGTCAAAAGGCTTATTGGTCACTGAAGGACAGGTCTTCCTCCTGTTGCCAGGCAGAAATAGCATCACAATGCCATGTCCCTGTGAGCGCTCAGCACTAGTCTTCTGAGCACTGCACAGCATGTGCCACAAGCCTGCAGGCTCCTGCTGATACAGGGACAATGCGCTGCTGACACAGTGAGGACTGCAAGCCCCAGGCAACTTCTGTGTCAGGCTGGGCAAAAGGGACAACAGGGAAAGTACAAACACATGGCGAGCTCAACCAGGCTAAAACAACAGCTATCTACAGGCAAACAAAAAAATTTTCATATAGAAAATGTTATGGCTTCAAATTAGCCAAGACTTGCTGGTAGGTGATGAGCAAAGTTTGGGACTATAATTGGTATTTGGATGTTTATGAGATGCTACCAGCAGCCAACAGCCTGAAGAGCAGCCAAGAGAAGCTACAGCCTTTCAGGCAAGTCAAGCTTAGAAAGAGCTACATCTGTTTGAGCCACATCCTCCAGCATGAAACACACACTGAAAGGATCAAGAATCCAACCAACTAACAAGTCAGGTCCAAAGCCTGAGCTGAAGATTATTCTTCTGCTCCGACTGTCTCAGCAGGAAGGAGAACTTCTCATGATTGTTCCTGTTTAACCACTTCAATCCATGTTACTTGCTCACATTTTATACAACAAACCCCTACAAAGCAGGAGACTAGAGCAGGATCCTTCCTCAGATCCAAACCCATGCTTCTCACCCAGCACTACAAAATGCCCCAAAGCTTCAGTGTATTCCTAACTGGACTTTATGATTCCATCTTCTCACAGACTGGATCAAGACAACTGCTGGGCTGACATTTCAGAACCCACCCGCCTTTCAAAACAGCTTGCAACCTGATAAAAAGCGTTGCTGTTCACTCACTACTTGGCAATCTCCCTTTCCAAAGCCCTCTCCTCCTGGCAACAGCAAGTTGGGAAAGATGAGCTCTGTTATAAGAGAGGTAGTGTGTTAAGCCTGGCTCTGCAGAGATAATCCTCCAAGCAGTGTTCCTCCAGCAATTGTGTGCCCCAGGTTCACCACTGGATACTGGAATTGCAAGTCCTCACAGAGGTCCAGAGATACTGTGATGTGTGCAGAAACGTGCATGCATCATGACACATTCCGCTCTGTGAAAAAACATGGGAAAGACCATCAGAGCTGCATGCAGGAAGACCTTATGGAGTACAGGATGGAGAGGGTGGAGTGCATCCAGAAAAGTCAGAGTTGTCCAAATGGCACGCTTTTCCCAGCCTAGGAATGAGAGATTGCAACTCAACTTTGGCCTCTTCTGTCTGAAGCACAGGACGGCCATGCTGCTGACACTGAACGCTGAAGTAGAGTATTGCACTCAAGGACAGGTCCTCTTCAAGAGCTGGGACCTCTCCTGTGCCACAGGGCAGGGCTGCTGCCAGTAGCTCAGGTTATCATGGAGTGAAGACTGCCTGCAAAACTCTACAAATGAAGGACTGATAAGCACAAGGAAAACCTGGGAAAAAGCCTTCAATGGCAGGGAAGCAGGACGCAGTGGTGAAGGGTAATGGATGGGTAATAGACTGGTGTAGGAAGGCTGCAGAAGATCAGGGTTCCCAGCTAGCCTCTCCTGGAAGCACTGGAATGCATCACCTCACTCACCTCAAAGCCCATCTGTCCCTACCCACCACAACATCTTGCCTACAGGGGACATAGCATGAAGGGAAGAGAAGGGAGTAGAGGTGACAGAGCTGATCGAGACCTTCAGGTCCAGCATGTTACCGTCTGTGAAGCCCAGATTCTTCATGCTTCTCCAGTTGAAGGCCGGCATCCTTCCTGTCCCAAACACAGCAGCTTCTCCAGAGAGCAGCAACAGCTGCATCCTGCAAAACTGTGGCCTCTGCCCTGCCAGATGATCACCGCTCCAGCAGCATTTCACTGGGGCTATAGCTTGGCGGCCTCCCCCGGCCCAATGGCCCTTGTTCAGTGGTTGTGTTGGTGTACTCAGCATAGTATCCATGTATCAGCATAGTATTCCATGTATCCATGGGATCTGAGATCTGCATGACACTGCACCACCCCCTCTCCACACACATGCAAAACCATTCAGATTTGTGAATAACACAGGTCTGACAGAGTCACTCTACAATGGGATCTCTCAGCACCCTGTGCACCCTGGGGATCTTCCTGCCTCCCCCACGGAGAGATTTCAATCCTTGTACACTGTTGCCTTTAGCATGTTTTTCTCTTTCTGTTTTTTAAAACGAGTTTTGAGGCTTCTATTAAAACACAGAAATACAGGACAATTAAAAACCAGCACAAATTTTGCCTTTCCCAGCGACCTATTTACAGCTAGTTCCAAAAACCCTCTTGCACATTTTGGTTGCTTAAAAAGGAAGGACAAAAAAAAAAGAGAGAGGAAAAAGGGCAAGAAAAACACTAGACGGAGGAAAACCGTAAGTGAAAACTTTACAAACTGCCACAAGGTCTGGATGTCCCTGGCTGCCACGCAGGGTTCAAAGTAACAGCCCCACTCCCAGCCTCTTCACCCTCCCCTTCCCAAAAAAAGAAAGGAAAAAGAAACCCAATTCACATCAAGTTTACTGCACATCTGGTTTGCTGTGTAGAGGCAAATCCGATATGAAAAGCATCCCACGTGGTGTCCTCCACTGGCATTGGCCCCCAACCCGCCCCCAGAGAAAGGTTTAAAAATGTTTGTAGGCGCAGCCCCATCCCCGCCCCAGCCCTGAGCGCCAGTCAGGGTTAAAAAGGCAAGTTCGCCATGTTCCCAGGCCCAGGGATATAACTCATCTGGCTGTCCAGGGAGACACTCCTCTGCCTCATCTGGTGTGTGACCATGAGGTTCTGCTGAGGTGGGGGCCCCATGAGAGAGCCCTGAGGTGACATCATATGTCCTGTCTGGGCATACATCTCCCCTGACACAGACATGCTTCTCTGCTTGGCCTGCATCAGCATGAAATTCTGCTGGGCCATCAGGCTCTGCTGCGGAGACATCATGCCCTGGTGCATGCTATTGCCCATCATGCCTTGCTGGGGCGGTATGCCTGTCCTGCCCAGCATGGGCACTTGTCCAGGATGGCACATGGGCATGCTGAGTCCCCTCTGCACACCCTGCTGCCCGGGGAGGCTGGGAGCATTCATACCTGGACGCACGGGGGGCTGCTCAGCCATCATGTTCTGCAGGTTCATGAGGTGGAGGTTGGAAGGCTGAGATTTGGGTGCCTGGCTGTCGCTCTTGGGGAAATACTGCAAGGTGCTGCTTGGCTTCTCTGATGGGATGATCCTGGACAGGTCAAACTCCGGGATCCCCGTGGGCGTGGGGCGGATGACCTCACTGAGCTCGGGGTCGTTCAGCACCGACGCCACCCCAGGAAGCACGGGCGGGTAGGGGTCACCAATCCGAGGAGGGATGTTCTTGCCCATCATGTGCTGCTGAGGGGGCATCTGGCCAGGCTGCTGGGAGGGAAGGTCCTCAGGTGGCAAGGGCATCCCTGGCGGGTAATGCTGCTGCATCCCAGGGCCACCTCCTGCACTGGGGGCCATGGGCATGCCTCCGGCAGGAGATGACATGGCATTGTGGGGCTGCTGCATGCGAGGGAACACGAGCTGGTTGGAAGGAATCATCTGTGAACTGTTGGGCACAGGGCCACACTGCTGGTTCAATGAGTCCTGGGGACCCGGGGGCAGCATCATGGGGTTCTGGGGGGGCACGCCCGCCCCTGGCCCACTTGGATGCATAGGAATGTTGGAGCCCAGAGGGTTTGGGGAGGACATCATAGAGGTGGGGGGTGGTTCGTGGGAAAGGGGCTGCTGACCAGGTAGGTTCATTCCCATGGGGCTCTGAGCGGATCCAGGCCCCACAGAGTTCAAGTGCAGTTGATTTGGCTGATTCCCCGTCACGCCTAAGGACAGGAAAAAGAAAGAAGAGTTAACCCTTCCTACAGACTTTTCAGGGCTGTAAAATCCACATCCTGAGAGCCTGCCAAGCAGTCCTGCTCAGAATGCCCTGAGTATGGAGCATGATGCTCAGAAAGCAGCTCCAAGATGGGCTTACAAAGCACCAACATCAGGAAAAAGCGTCTCCAATTCCAGGTCCTCAAGCCCACAAGCACCAGAGGGCTCTCCCAGCCTCATCCAGTCCCATGCTAGATTTGTAATTTCTTACATTCCCCTGATTTTAGAGTCCTGACTGGCTCTGTGTGTGCCTTACATCATGGTCTCATCAGGGCTCTCAGCTACCTGAAAGGCAGCAAGGAGTGACCCTTCACCCCTGCCTGCCACAGGGTTTGCCACCCAGCAAGCTCCAGTGACCACGCAACCTCGGGTGCTAAGGAGGAAAAAAGCAGAAGAGTCAGCAGCCCAGCAGAGGCGCTGTCTGGGCGGGAAAGTCTGTGCCCATCAGAAAAGCAGAGCAGCCATCAGTGCTTGCGGAGGCAGCCAATGCATTTGCATGCCTTGCGGTCAACCTAAGTGACTGCTCAGCAGTGAAAGAGTCAAAAAGTTGATTTTTCATTTCCAAAACTGACAAAAATATTTATCAGATGGCTTTAGACCCCTAAATCAAGTGGTAGAGCATGTTGGAATTCCCCTTTGGGCTGGTCACCACGTGACCAAAAACACTCATTTGCCTAGATGTCCTCACCAGTGCCACCAATTAGTGGAGCGTATCTGGCCTACTGAAGTCACAACTGTGCTACAACACAGCCTTGCCTGTGCAGGCACTTGGGCTCCACTCAAAACACCAGACTCCCAAGCCCCATTCAGAGCATCCCTGTCCCACTGCACAGGAACACAAGGGCTCTAAGCACGAGACCTCTGCCTGCAAGTTCTGAACCCGACAAAACTCCAGGAGCCATGAAAACTCGGGCCAAATACATCTCCATGGGTAAAGGTAAAAACCTTCCAGGTCTTGTGGAAGAAGGATTCCTCAAGCCAGACCAGCTCATGTCCTTCCACCCAAGCCAAAAGTTGATGGACAGCCTGGGCAGAGGGCAGAGAATTGCACAGAATTGCACAATTGGAGTTGTTACAAACAAGGGGAAATTTAAGCTATGTGACATGGCAGTCATGGGGAGATCAGAGTTCCTAATACTTTCTCCACCTGCTGCCTCAGGTCCACTGGCAGCCACAAGACAGTCTGACCCCTTGCAAGCCCACCTCCAGAAGTAGATACCTGACATACTTCCAGGTGGGAGCATAGGCCTGTCTGGCAGCAGCTCATCATCAGAGGTGGCGATGGTCTTGATGGCATTGTGGTAAAGTGGTGTGGAGCTGGGCATGGCATACTTGGACATCTGGGACATCATCAGTGAGAGGGGGTTCTGGGAAGGGGATGGATCTGGAGAGGAAGTAAAAGGCATGTTTGGATTCATGGTGCTAGAGGTGTTGCTGGCTGGTGCAGAAGAGCTGCTCCGAGGCCCAGAAGGGAGAGAACCTGCAAGAACGAGAGAGATCAACTTAGTATTGTTCACGTGCAATGGCTTGCTCCCACCAGAGAGCAACCCTGACCTCTGGTCACTGTGACCAGAGGAGGCTGCAAAGCACATAGCTGGCACAGTGCAGCACTCTCTGGACTCTGAGAAGGCTCATGCAGAGACCCTGCTCCAGAGCAGTGACAGACTTCCACTGAAACCTGCCCCTGACTGCCCAGCACAGACACAGCGTTTGCTGCATGTGTCACAGATCTACCTGAAAAGGCCCTGTTTGGACTTCTGGGAAAACATACTTGCTCTGTGAGATGCAGAGCCAGGCACAGGAACACGGCTTCCTGTTCCAGAGAGAGCTTGTGGGCTGGAGAGAAACCCTGTCCACACACTCATCAAAACTAAGCACAGACATGCACTCGCACACAAGACACCCAGCATACCCTGCTCCAGTGCTCCGATGGAAGCAGATGAGTTCATATTGAGAGTCTGCTTGCTCTGGTTGACTCCTGGGCTGGGCATGGTGGCTTTGGGAGATGGCACCCAACCAGGGGAAGAAACAGCCATAGAAGGGGACTTCAGGCGGCTTGGTGAGCCAGTTGGAGACCGGACGTTGAGGGAGGAACTCATCACCTGGGGGGACTTGAGGGATCCAGACTGGTTTGAAGGTGGCATGCTGATCATCTGCGAGGGTGTCTGTGGGGACTTGAGACTGGCAGATGGGGAGGTGACCAGTGGCGAATGCACCTGGCTAAGGGTGGGAGACTTGAGGTGACCCATACTGGGGGAATTCATCTGGTTGATGTTGATGGTGAGGTCAGAGGGCCGGCGGCCCAGCCCCCGGGAAGGTGCTGGGTGCATGTTGGCCAGGTTTCCCCCTGGTGTGGGAGTGGGATTGGAGGCTGGAGGCAGAGGAATGTGGCTGAGTCTGGTGGTGCCACTGATGCTCCCAACAGACATGGTGCCCTGCTCAGGGCTAAACATGTCTGAGCCACTGCCCATCTCCTGGGGCAGGCTGGGATAAGACCCTTGCCCTGTCGAGAAGCCTTGCTGTCCTTGGTTGGGGAACTGTGAGGGAATCATCATTTTCTGGGGTCCCGTTAGTATTGCACCGCCATTGCCATTCTGAGCCCTAACCCTGGCCAGCTCCTCAGGGTTCATGCCCTGGTGGGTCATCATTTCAGCGCCCCTCATCTTCTGGGACATCATCATCTGCTGCTGTGGGGTCATCTGGACATTGAGGTTCATGTTCATGTTCATATTGACATTCATGTTCATGTTGAGGTTGCCAGGGCCCATGGGTGTGTCCATGTCCCGAAGGCCTGACTGACTCATAGGAGGGCTCAGCATCCCCCGAGTGCCTGCAAAATCCATTCCCATTGGGGCACTGCTCAGGGTCTCACCCGTTATCTGCCCAGCAAACATGGATGGATCCATCTGCCTGTGAGCCTGCATCATCCTCTCCATTTCCATGCCCTGGCTCATGGAGTTGTTGGATATCCCCATGGGCCTCTGCATTGCCACTGGGCGTTTCTCCATGAGCTGATGCCGCAGAATCTCCTCTCTGGCACGGGGATTCATAAACCTTTCTGGGTCTCCTTGCCCTGGTGGGTAGGGCAAGGTGCCTTGTGGAAAGTTCCCAGGGCCTCCCATAGGAGACATATCATCGCTCCATCCCATGCTGGGCCTGACTGGCCTCTGCAAGGCATTCATAGGCCCAAGAGCATCCAAGGGCATGTTCTGCATCCCTCCAAAGCCAGATACTCTCTGCATTTGATTCCCAGGGAACCGTGGGCCAGGGAAGGGTGGCCCTCCCCGCAGCTGCAGAGGATCCTGCACATCTATGGGTCCCCGCAGCTGGCTGCCCATCCCTGGTGGCCACTGTTCTCCAGGCTTGCTGTGGTAGGGTGGTGGAGGCCCACGCATCATCATGCTCCCCATCGACTGAGGAATCATGATCTCCTGCATGGGCCGGCCATGGATGCTGATCTGCTCCTCTTTCCGTCGCTTTTCCTCGTAGTACTCTTCCTGCAACTTCCTCCAGGCCACTTGCTCCGGTGTCAGGCTGTCCTGGTTCAGCCGCTGCATCATCATGTTCATCTGCTGTCCCATGTCAGCGCCAGGGTGGTGAGGCACCTCATGTTCCAGGCTGGGCCCACCAAGGCTCTGGGTCTGGGAGATCATGGACTGCAGAGGCTCTTCATACTTCTTGATGCTGGCAGGGGGCGCGGGGGGCTGGGCAGGGGCAGCCTGTGGCTGAGGGGCAGTCCCCCCCTCACCTGCATTTTGGCTGGACTTGAGGAAGGGCTCAGCCTCCCCACTGCGCAGCAGCAGACGCTCAATGTCTCTCAGGGTCTGCAGAGAACGTTCTCGGTGCTCCAGCTGCTCCTTTGAGAGCCCTTCTGAGTTCATGGTGTTCCTGGGGCCCAGGCCTGCCTGCCCATTCCCCGGCATCCCTGGGCCCTCTCCAAGGAGGCTGGAGCTGGGTGTGGCAGAGGAGTCCACTTGCCCAGGCTGCATGGTGCTGGCAGATGCAGTGGGCGTATTTGGATGGTTACTTCCAGGCTGGTTGTTGCTGCTATTGTTCCCCAAAGAGTTGGGAGTCAGATCTCTCCGGCCATCTTCACTTGTCCCTTCCTGAGGCAGGCTGCTGGGCGCAGGCAAAGGTGTTTGACTGATGGCCTGAGGTGGTGGGGCTGGAGGCTGTGGTGGGGGAGGCTGTGGCTGTGGTTGACTTGCTTGAGGAGCCAGTGGCTGGGACTGTGGAGTATTGGCAGCAGGAGGGTTAATTGGAAGTGGCTCAGCAACGCCCAGCACTTTAGGAGCAGGTGGTGCCTGGCAGAGAAAAGGGGAAGAAACTTGAGCAGGGAAAGATCCTAGGAAGGTATTCTTCCCTGCACCCTGCAGGAGACCTCTCTGTCCCAAAATGAAGCCTCATGGCAGTTCACCTTCATTCCTTGCAGGAAAAAAAAACGTAGGTACTACTACATGATCTAGGAACGCACAAGCAGGTACTTTGCACACGTGGCTGCGGGGGAACATGCCACGCCCCATCCCAAACTTGTCACAGCTGACAACAGCAAGGACTTGTGCCAAAGAGATTTTGCAGCAAAGCAGCTTCCCACCCCACTGAAAGGGCATTCTGGCAACCCCTTCTTTCACAGCTGAGCCAGGGGATGGGGGAAAATGACCACATCAGACTGGAAGGGTAATAGTCGTCAGCATGTGAAAACAGGAGCAATTGCTTCACAGGTGGTATACCTGGTCTAACTTTGCCCGTGGGACATTCTGTTGATGGTAGGCCAGAATGGAGTCAGCTCGGCCCTGCAGGACAGCTTCTGCAGCTCTGGGGAGAGAGCACAAATCACTTGAGAACAGGCACTGCGCCCCATCCTACCCATCCAAGGCCCCAGCTGCCACCTCATTATTCAATTCTACAGGAAGAAAGAAATCCCTAGAGGTAACCAAGAAGGGGGAATGTTCTCAGAGTCCGTGCATATGTCCTGCACAGCCTCCAGTGAGGATCTCCAACAGATGATCACTTGCTGTTCAATTTCCCTCTTCCAACATCCTGTGACAGGCTTTGCTTTGTGCCTACTGCCCTAAGGTGGTTGTCACCAAGATGCATTGGAATCTCCCACACTGAACCTGTGATACAGCAGAGCTCTAAAACTAGGCTAGTTTTAGCCTAGGCTAAACAGACTAAACTGACTTCTAAGAATCTATGGCTAAGACAATGCAGGACAGAAGAGAGGAATTGTGTGGAGAATACCATGTGTTACATTACACTCCCTGTCACATCCACCCCTTAGATACTTTCAAATCAGACCAGCAGCCCACACTGCTTTGGGAGAATCATTTTGTTGGATGCGACAAAATGGGCTCCATAGTGAGTGAAACAGAGTGCAGAGCCAGGCCTCACTGGCAGGAAGTGGGCATTTAAGTCCAAGTTTGTCCACCTGCAACAACTACCAGCATACCTCACAAACCCCAGAGGTTTCCCACTCTGTGCAACCAGAGAGACACAGATTTCTCCAGCTCTCTTGTGCTCAAGGGCTGCATGCAGCAGGCAGGTGTGACAAGGCCGGCCAGGTGTGGCAAGGCCAGCCAATACCAGTGGAGGAGGTGTGGGGTTTACCGCTTACGTGTTAGCAAGGTGCGTTGTAAAGACGTAAACAAACTGTGAATGCTGCTTCCCTGTTCCGCCGCCTCCGCCTCCTGCAGCCTCTGACCGCAAGCCAGGGGCAGCACCATGGGGCACGCCGGAAGCACTGCTCTCGCTCAGGTTAGGCAGCGGGTTGGACCCTGGGCCAAGCTGTGGGGCCGTGGACATCGCAGGATCTGCTACATTACAGCCTGCGGGAGCAGAGAAGAGGAGCTGCCGGGCGCTGCTGCGGGGCCGGAGCCCGCGGGCTGCACGGACGAGCCGCCAGCAGGCGGCAGCACCGGCCCGCCCGGCCGGGGCCGCTGTCAATCGTCAGCCGTTATTAAGTAGGATCCATAATTAATATTACTAAGCGCTGCAATTACCAGAGGCATGCCTTGCCTCCCTCTACCTTAACCCAGCTGGCTCCCTGCTCCCCCCTCCAGCTGTCTCTCCCCATCGCAGCAGCCTCTGCAGCTCGATCCTGCCACCGCAGCATTCACGCAGGAGACATCGCCGGGAACTTGGTGCGGGGACACGGGCGCTACCTCGTTGCCAGCCCCTGCCCTTGGGCAGCCCCACCGTGACGCATTCCCGCCAGGCAGATCTGGGAGCAGGCTGACCCTTCGGCACTATCCCTTCCCGCACAGGCTGCACAGGCTGCAGACTGTGCCGAGAAGTGCAAGTGGATGTTCCAGAGACAAGGGCAACAATGCACTGGCAGGCACAGAGGCCACCCTCTTCTTGCTTTTCTACACGTTCATGTTCTCTTACAGAGAACATGGGCATCTCCTCGGGTCCCACAGGACCTTGCCCCATCTCTCAGATATTCTCCCTGTTACAGTTTGAAAGCAAAGTGAATTGTAGATACAAAATGTCAAAGAATAATGGTGCTTTTGGAAAACAGAGTAGACCTACAGCTCATTGTCCCAAAAAGAGCACACCTCAGGCCAGCTCAGCTCTGCCTGAACCACTGTCAAGACCCCAAGAGCCTCTTAACACTGAGCTGTCTTTACAACACAGCTGCAGAGAGAAAGGTGAGTGGCTTGGCAGAGATGCAGCTGCTGCAACAAGAGCAATGCACGTTGCACTCTGGCTGCCACTATGACCAGGGCTCTGTAGATGGCCAGAGCAACGTACAGCAGGGACATTCAACCTCAACACTTTTCCCTCCAGCATGCCTGTAGCATCTCCACAAAATAGGTCCAAGGCCTTACTGCATGGCAAGCATTCTCACAGCACAATGACCACCAACTGCAATGGGCCCCACAACACTCGGCTAAGTGAGCACACACAGGCAAAGCTAGAGGTGCCAGTGTCATCAGCCCTCCTGATGAGCCGTAGGAAGGACCTGGTTTTATTCAAGCTTCAGAGTGGTAAGGAGGCAGTGACTCACTGTGTGCACTGCTGATGGGTTTGTCGTCTTCCTCGCTGTCCGGCCCAGAGCACCATTCATCGCCACTGTATGGCTGCTTCCTTTCCAGCACACACCGTCGCTTACTGCGGGGAGCCACCTCACCTGCAAAGGGACAGGGCCAGCAGAGGTGCTTAAGGGGCTGAAAGGCTGGGGTCCTGCCCAGCTGGGTGCTGCGTGCTGGCAGTGCCAACCCAACCAGGATGCACTGAGCAGTAAGCCTTATGCTAACATCTGCCCAGCACTGGTTAAGAACCTGAAGCATCTGCTCAGTCTGGGCTCCCTGTCTTAGCAGCCAGATCTAGTGAGACTTCCCTGTGAGAGCCAAAGCTTCAGAATGAGATGTATTTCTTACCACCTGAAAGGAACCTATGCACATAGGATGTGTCTACCTGCAGTTCCAAACTAGAGAGCTTTGGATATTAACTGTAAATTTAAAGGGTCTGTGATTCAGCAATTAAAGGAGGGGAGGGCACATTCACATCCTTTGTAGGAACAAGAGACAGACTCTGCCCTTTGTCGACACCAATCAGGCACGGACCTTCATGCTCTCTATAAACTTGTATGCTCCCTCCACGTGTCCACCCTCTCAGATGGGACTGATGCAGCTCAGAGAGGAAGTGGCTTGCCTAAAGGCACTTAGGGAGAGCAATCAGACACAAGATGAATAACTTCCAGTCGTGTGCTTTAACTAATGAAACGTTGTCGGGCCTTACTTTTTTTACATTGTCTTTTTTACATCATGACCATATTCACATGATCTGTCAGTGTATTAGGAACATAGGAGATTCGGGCATTTCTGATCAGGCCATTTTAATAATTTTCCTGTGGAAGTGTGGTTACAAGACAGCTCTGGGATAAAACTGCAAATGCTTATGATCAGTAGTGTATGGTTACCCCTGTAACACTACGGGGAGAAAGCCTTCCCAGTGGCAGGAAATTCATTCAGGTATATTCTACCTGTTGTTCCATGGCACAGCTCTGGCCTAAGCCAGTCAGGCAACATGACTTTGACTGTGAAAACAAATCCGTAGGGCCACAAGCCAGAACTGCAGCTCTGCGTCTGCAGACTGGGTGTGAGTCTTGGTTGGAACCAAGGGCACAACTGGAATTTCTCCCCCTACAACCGTCTGTGAGATGCTCAAGTATCCCACACAGCCACTGAGCACAGAGCTTGATGGAATGCAAGAGGTTAGAGGGAAGGCTGATGAGGACAAGGTAGGCAAAGGGTTTAGAAACACTGACTCAGCCCTTTTCCAGAAGCCACATGCTGTAACACAAGAGTTATCCATTGCTGATGAAACCACAGAACTGTTCAGATTGTGACCCTTGCAGCAGTTCCTTGCTAACCATGACTGAGTCGTTGGGCAGCTGCAACACCACTAAGCAGCTCTCTACCAACAACAAGAAGATAGAAAACAACTCAGTCTCAAGTTAAAAGTTTGCGCATTGCACATGCAGGGGCATTTGGTTTTGTTTCAGTGAACCATGCTGTTGCTTAGATGGCCTCAGTAGCCTGTAAAAACCAGTGCCAGATTCTGGGTGTAACAAATGGTTTAGGGAATGAAATGCAAAGCAAATGAGAATTCAGCCACTCTAGTCCAAAGACTGCAGATGTGACAAGCAGTGATGCAAAGTCACACAGGCAGCCAGGACAAGCCTGAACAGAAGACACAGCACAGAAACCAAAGATGCTCCCATCCCAAGTCCTGCCAGGATGTTTGTAGCAACTGAGAGGAGGACATGCTGAGGCAAGGTCTAGGAGAGCATTACCTTTTGATTCTGTGTCCTGTGATGGGGTGCTAGCTTCTCGCTGTTCTCCGGAGTCCACTGAGATGCTTCGTTCCCGCTTCACCTTGCCCTTCAAGGAGCTGAAGTTTGGGACAGTGTTCTGGCTGTTTTTCAGTCCAGAGTTGCCAGGGGAAATCTGAGTGGCCTTGCTGCCATGGCTGCCTGCCCCCACGCCCTTTGAGCCCAAGTTACAGGTGGGTGCTTGGCTCACATTGTGGTGCTGGGCCAGGGCACTGCTGCTGCCTGCCTTGCCATGGCTGGGCAGTTTGTTGTCAGGGTGCATTGGCTTGGCTAAAGCTTCCCACAGTGCCAGTGGAGGGAGCTCGCAGGCCCTTCAATCAGAAACCTGCAAGAGAAAAGAGCAGCAAGTCAGCACGGTGCCCCTCACACAGGTGCAGCTACTGGGGGCACAGCACAGGACCAGTGCACTGGGGCTGTTACTTGGTCACAGGGCCAGACAAAGTCCATGGCAAGGCACAACCCAGAGCTGCTCAGGCTGGGAATTAGCCCTGGCCCCTTTGAGCAAAAAATCCTGCTCTGCAGTTACTCACATCATGACAAGCTGTAAACTCTCACCCAGGCATGGCAGACTTGCCAGTACTTCAAGGAACAGCCACAGACATAAGAGCCCTCATTTCCAAGGCCAAGATGAGAAATGGGTGCTCCATGCCAGCCTAGCCCTTTGGTGAGTAGAAGGATGCACAGAGCTATTTTGCAGGTGTTCCCAAAGACATCTTTGTGACCCTAGAGAGAAATTGAGTGCCCTAGTGTTTTCAGGAATCCCCTTTGCTGATAAGTAAGTTTCCTCTGTGCTGCAAAACACACAGAAGACAGCTAGACAACTGAGCAGACGGTCTTGACACAATCTTATAAAGGGAAAACTGGGACAGAGCAGGGGACAAAGGTTGAGGCAACCGAGAAGGAGGCAGAGAAGGGTTCCAAGGCAAGGACAGAGCCAGGAAGTGCAGACACTCATCAGACAAGCACTGCTTCTCCCAGGGGCCAGAGAGACAGTTCCAGCTCCTGCTTTAAGGCTCTGGGTGAGGGGGTGTCCACTTTAGCAGGAGCTTCCAGCCCAGCAGGATGATGCAATGTGCCACATACCTGGATGATGCTTTCATGCTCAAAACCCAGCTTAGCTACCTGAATAGCCCCACAACCTGAGGCAGAGTTTAGTAGAGAAGAGGAGGTTAGGGCAGAACACAAAGGTTTCTGGGCTGAGGGACATGCATGCAGCTAAGCAATGCTGCAGCAGCCCTCCTTGCAGGATCTAGTTGCTTTGGCAGAGTCTCATGCTCACACCTGGAATATTCCCCTTGGAACTCTGCACAGGCACTAGAGATGACTGGGATGCAGCTCTGTATCACACTGTGTATTCTGGAAGGCCACCACAAACCCTTGATCCAACACACAACCCTAATCCTGTCACAGCAGTTTTTACTTGTGGAAGCAGGAGGGAAGGAGAGTAAACCACATGTTCACGGAAGCTGAGGTATGACTCTGTTTGCTCACATCTGCTATATGCTTTGCATGACACCCCAACAATGCACCCAAGAAGCTTCCCTGTGCACAGGCTGAGAAACTTCCCAGCACACAAGGAAGGGGGTTGCTGTGGTCTGCTCCTGCCATTTGGACCATGCAGGCCAGATGCTGTGCACAGATTTCTTCTGCCATCCAGGGACAGGAAGCACCAGCTCCAGACCAAACTCCAGGTGTCTAGATAGTACCACAAGAGCTCAGCAGCACTACACATGCTGCTGCTCCTGGCTTGCTAAAGGTGAGCCTGGAGATGCCACTAGCAAAAGCCAAGAGCTTGCTGTGCCAGGGCAAATCACTGCACCTTTGCAAAGAAAGCAGAGTGAAGCACATTTGGCAGACCCATAATCCCCAAAAGATTGAGATCACCACAAGGGACAGGCTGCAGCCCATCATGCACCGTGAGGGAGTCCTGTGCTTGCAGAAAGGGTCTTCTCAGCACCTGCCTCCCTGCAAGCTGAGCCAGAGGCTGCTGGCATGCTATGCAAACATGTGGCACGGCTCGCCCAAGCATTCTTCCTTAGTTATGCACAGCTTGGCCTATCACTGCTTCCCAGCTAGGAGTTGTTAGTTGCTCCCTCCTCCTCCACCTCCGCCCCACACACCTCGGTGAGGGCTCTGCTCTAGCCTGGAGGAAGATGGTGAGCTATGGCGCTGATTAATTTTCACGGCACATAAGGGAGTTGCTAGCCCTTTAAGTGTCAGCCAGTCTCGCTTGCTCGCTCTTGCTCTCCAGAGACCTATTAATAGCAGCTGGAAAGATCACATCACTCTCTGGATATTTATACCCCTCATTCCACACCAGGAGAGATTTATGTCAGAGCTGCTGTCCCAGTGCCTGCCCAATTGCTCTGTCAAACCACTTGCAGGGGGAGGGGAGCTGAGTGGGGAAGGAGACACAGAGAGGGCAAGCAGGGAGGAGGAGAAGGTCCATATGGCACAAGCTGCAGCATTAAGCACACAAGCTGCCTGCAGTCGCTGGCTGGCCAGCCACAGGGAGCCTTCAGCCCCACTGGAAGAGGTTGCTGCCAGACAGCATTCCAGAAAGCAAGCCCTGCAGCAGCTCCTGCTGCTGGTGGCCCAGAGGCCCTCCCCCACCTCTGCTTTGCCGCACTCACAACCCCTGCAACACTCTGCACCACAGTCCCGAGGGTCACAAACCCACAAGGCATTGTGTGGTTGCACCCGCTGAGGACGTGCTTCCATTTCAACAGGAGCTTGGGAGATCCAGGTCTGCCTGTGGCACATCTGCACAGGCATGATACTGTGTTTGTAACAGATCCCAAAATGCTTCACCGAAAATGTGAATGCTCAGCAGCACTGCAGCACAACCCTAGCAAAACCCAGCACGGTGAATACTTCAGGGAGGGAGGAAGAAGTCTGGGGCCTTGAAAAGCCCACACCTGCAGAGTCCAGAGATACACCTCCTGTCCCCCTGGTTCTCAAATGAGACTGCATGGAACACACACCTCGGTCCCAAAGGACCTGGCAGTTGCCATGACAAAACGTTCAGGCACTGCCTGCAGCGTGGATGAGCCTCATCAGCTGTGAGGTTCCTCCAGAATGTAACATTTGGGGGGCACCTACCTTCTTTCTTTATTTTGGATTAGGCTGCTGCTCCAGGGAAGTCATTCAAAACCTTGCCTGAAGCAGGATGGAAAGCTACCCTGGGCTGACAGAGGGACCTGCCTAAACTTTGGAAAACCTTCCTCTTCTAGTGACCACTCACAGGGATAACACTTGCCTCACAATTCCTAATGGGACAAATGCCAGAAGCAGCTGCCTGAAGATTGTGCTCTGCTTTCAGGAGTAGCAACAGCTGGATTCTGTTGCAGATGGATAGCAGGGATCCGCCTCAGCCTCTTATCTGTCTGGCCGCAGCATGACAACAGGCATCTCGACTGCTGTAAGCTCCTTCCCCACACCCTGAGAACTCAAACTAGATTTGAGCAGGCGTGCTATACATCTGGGCCACAGAAGATAATTAACTAGAAAGTAGATACAGTGACACCATGAGACAAACAATTCAAAACATCTTGAAAAGAACATGACAAAAAGAAGACTGCACAGAAATCTGTCTTTCTCGGCAATTTAGACACACCCACTCCAGCTTGGTAGTTTTAAAGACAATAGCAAACTTAATTCCCAGTCCTGGTTTCTGCCCCTGGCTACCACCAATCCGAAGCAAGATGCCTGGGTTTTGGGTGCCTTGATTCCACCATCATTACACAGGGGGACAACCCAGCCAACCTCATGCAGGGAAGGAGGCTTTCAAGGCACAGCAAGTATCTGTTGAACAAAGGGCTACATCCAAATGCAGACAGTGTTTGCACCTGAAAAGTCACAGCTTTAATCAAAGGCTGGGACTTTAGTAGACAAGAAATCTTGAAACAAAACAACATTAACTGCTTTCAGGAAGTCTCCTCCAGTACAGCCTGAACAGCAGCAGAGGGAGAGGAGGAGTAAGCTCTGGGCAGGAGAGACTGGGCTGACATATTTGCAGTCTGGGAACCCACCCCCGCTGCATTCCCGGAAGACTTTTTCTGGTGAATCATGCTCCAGCTCTCTCCACAGGACGATAATGTGGATTCCCAACACAGCTGCAAAGATGAGGAGCCCACCCCTGCCACCAGCCTTGCAGCTTCCACATCTGGGAGTTGGCTGGCATTGCTGCTGTGCTATCCCTCTTGGAAGAAGGCACAAGAGAGGAAGCCAGGACAGCGGAGCCACGATGATTCAAAAAGGAAGGTGCTTCACCACACCTCCCTCCCATCGGATGCTGGGAAAAGCTCTTGTGAAACTCAGAAGACTACCAAGTTGAGTACACACAGTGGATACCAGAACCCAGCCCTCTGAGCTGTGCTCCACAGCTCACAAAACCCAACATTCAAAACAGGTTGTGACACGGTGATGCAACACACAAAGTCATCGAACCCTTCTCTGCCAGCCTGTCCAGGAAGTAACAAAACCAGATTACTATTGCAAACACCCTCTAAGTACATAATCTATGCTGATAACCACCCAATCACTCACTACAAGATGCAGTCTTGACCAATCCAATCCAAATCCCATGGACACCACCACAAACTCATGCTGAACACCTTGGCTTTGGAAATGAGAGGTCCTAAGCAAGCTGAAGGGCTTCTTGAAGAAAGACATTATGCAGAGAACAGCAGGAGAGACTCCAGAAACCCACTGCTCCTTCGTGACATACTGTGCACTCCAAATCTGGATGAGATCCCCAGCACATGACCCAACATCTAGATCCTAGATTACCAGTCCTCCCAGGGTTAACAGCAGAAGGGGTTGAACACCTCAAAAAAATACCATACTACATCAATAAAGTCAGTGTATTTCATGAAGGGAAAGACTACTACAAACTTTCCAGAAATGAGATTTCTGAGGTGTGAGACCCTTGAATCATTTATGATTTGAGAGAAGACCAGAATCAGAAACTTGAGCTTTCCCATGCAAAAATCATTGTTTCAAAACAATAATTTTCACAAGACCATTCAACAGGTTTTGAGTCTGTTTCAGTGAGAAACAAACCCCTCAAAACCAGCAGTGAAACAGCATTGCTGTCAGCCAGCCAGCTCCAGCCAAGAGTCAGGGGGGGTTCGAACACCCAGATGAGCCTGAAACCGACCTGCGCCCAACAAGCACAGCTGCAAGACAATCCAAGACAATCCACTCTACAGCAACCAGTGACTGCAGGGCCATCCCCCCGACCCCAGTAGGGGAACACCTGCCCGAGAGTGTTCATCACCAGCAACAACAGCTTTAACTCAG